GTGGAATGGGAATTCAGGTGAAGGACACATGAACCTGGCATGAACGTTCAGAAACAAATGGTCTGGGAGGAGGTGGGTGTGTGGCCACTGAAGGCCATGGTTGTGGCAGTTAATTATGACTCCCTATGATAGCATTTCACTTTAGATCACATTGCGTGTAATTAATACACTTTTTTAATCCAGTGGAATTTCTTTTTTCTTTTTTTCTTTTTTTATTGCTGAAGCAGCTTTTCGCAATAATGCAGTTTTTAATTACTCTAAGTATGGAGATTGTTTTATGTGCATTATATTACTTCTTCAGTACCATTTCAATAATTATATGAGATTTAGCAAAGGAAAAATACAAATTTCTTTTTTAATACTTAACAAAAGAAAAAATAACAAATGGAATCAATAAAATTACAGGATTTGCTAGAGTGGTTTTTATATGGACCTAATGAGTGTAGGACTGTAGACAGTCACTGTAGTCACGGGTTATGGTTGGGGGTGGGGGCCATGGACAAGGATCATGTATGAAAAGTGGGTAACGACCAGAAAAAGTTTGGGAACCACTGATCTACATGGACCACCATGGCGTTGGAAGTCCTATAGTGACGGATGTCAGCTCGGTGTTCGCTGATCCTGGTGCTGAAGCCACGGCCTGTTTCCCCAAAGTGTCGCATCTGCTGCAGGGTATGCGATACACAGCACTGTTAGTGTTGTTTTCAGGCTGCTTTTTCTCCCGTATCATATCATGTATCTTATTCCCGGATGTGCTGGCGATTCTCACTGTGTTGCTGATCGCTTGGGAAACGTTGCATGACGGTAATACGAGAAAATCATTAGAAGAAGGTGTAGGATTAGATCTTGTGAGTATATTCTCCGCCTTCTTTCTGAGGTTTAGTAGGAAGCCTTTGGGGTATTTATGTTTCAAGAAGGAATCAATTATATAATTCAGGGCTGCAGATCCTCAGTGCCCTGAGGAAGAAGCCGATTACATATATGCATATACACATATATGCATATACACATATTCATTCGATATCAAAGAACACGGAGAGATCTGAAGAGGAGGAGGAGGAGGAGGAGGGAGAGGAGGAGGAGGAGGGAAGAAAAGAGAGGAGGAAGAGGAGAAGGAGGAGGAGGAGGAGGAAGAGGTATGAAATATATATATATGTATGTATATACATATAGATATATCTCTATCTATCAATATATTTATATATATATATGTATACGTATACATATATATTCATATATATATATATATATATATATATATATATATATATATATATATATATATATATATATATATATATATATGTATACGTATACATATATATTCATATATATATATATATATATATATATATATATATATATATATATATATATATATATATATGTATATATATGTATACGTATACATATATATTCATATATATATATATATATATATATATATATATATATATATATATATATATATATATACGTATACATATATATTCATATATATATATATATATATATATATATATATATATATATATATATATATATATATGTTTATATATATGTATGTATATATATATATATATATATATATATATATATATATATATATATATGTATATATATGTATATATATATATGCATATATATGTATACGTATATATAGACTGCCGCGATGGTCCAGTGGTTAGACCACTGGACTCCGACCCTTGTGGTCCCGAGTTCAATTCCCCGTCTCTGCAGTCGTAAAAATGCCTGCGCTCTGACTGCTGATTCAAGCCCGAGAAAACGACATATCGCCTTGAGAAGTCAAACGTAGATGTCGTAAGGGAGATCACCGCCGTGGCACAGGTGTTAGCACAGTGAACTGCGGTTGATTGGGAAGGGCATCCAATCAGGCAAGGGTGACACTGCCATATAACCTCTCAGTAGTGAATTCAGAGAGACCTATGCCCTGCATTGAAATAAATGGCTGTTAAAAAAATGTTTATATATATGTATATATATGTACATATATATGTATATATATATGTACATATATATGTATATATATACAAACATATATGTATATATATACAAACATATATGTATATATATATATATATATATATATATATATATATATATATATATATATATATATATATATATAGATGTGTATAGATATACATATATGTATATATATAAATATGTGTATATATATATGTGTGTACATATATATAGTATCAATAGTATCAATAACATGACATACTCAACACCGTCTTAACATTTGTTAGTTAGTTAGTTAGAAAATTGTTATTTAGTTTCAACCAGAAAATCAGTTCCCCAATATTCAATTCATATTCCCACTCATGTAGTACAAATATCACGGTGAACATTATATATTCATAATTCACATGCTAAATTATTACATTACTACAGGAAGGATTACGAAGCTAAAATACTAACAGGCACTTTCGGAATTTCATTATCTATTGGAATTGATAACCAGCTTGGCACTGACCTCAAAGGGAAAAAATGGTCACGTAGTTAATTTTACTACAAAGTAATGAAATGCAATTATGATCAAAATTATGAAAGGGATATAGTTACCGTTATGAAGTGCTGTATGTACTATACCGCTCGTCAATTTCCCAAAGCCGAGACTGCTGTTAACTTTGGATTTCATATTAGCATGTAAACAAATATAAGGAGTCTGAGAAACCCTTGTCCTGTTATCTATTTTGTATCATCAGAGAGAGAGAGAGAGAGAGAGAGAAAGAAAGATAGAGAGTGTAAAAAGAGATGTGAGAGAAAAATAGAGAGGAAGTGAGAAAACGAGATGGAGAGAGGGAATGACAGAAACAGATAGAGAGAGGGAGTGAGAGAAAGAGACAGAAGTGTAAGAAAGAGATAGTGAGGAATGTGAGAAAGAGCTAGAGAGAGGGAGTGAGAGAAAGAGCTAGAGAGAGGGAGTGAGAGAAAGCACAAAACAGGGGTTCGTCGGACTGTTAAATCTGAAAATATCACCTTCACCGCTCTACACACTATAATGGTATGGCTTTACTGCTCTGTGCTCTCTTTTACGTGCTTTATAACAATCATTATGTTTGTTCATTCATTTCTACAGACTCCGCTCACAAAGTTTAGCTCCTTAGATTCCTGTCGTAAAAAAGGTGTGGCGGAGAAAATGAGAGGACATATGCATAGACGTGTGTGATAAATGAAGAGGATGATGAAAATAGGTGAAAAAACTGGAGTGAAAGGAAGAGAGATAAACATTGTACAAAAGGATATTTATTTTGACATTTTCCTCTTTTGTTGTTTTTACTTTCCTTTCTCTTATCATTGATGGCTTTTTGCTCTCTATATCTTAATATGTCAGATTTGGCATTAATAATTTATTTTTGAAGTTTAGTCTTAATAGCTGTGACAGATTTATATATATATATATATATATATATATATATATATATATATATATATATTTATAAAATTCTTCGTTTTATTTACATACACTACTACTTAGGACAGATTTAAACAAAAATATACGTCAAAGCAAAAAGTGGTGTGATCTTTTTATTTTCTTCATAACAATTAGTACAAAGAGCAGTTTCTAACCATTACAAAAAGTATTGCGCTGACAGTAGAACACCTAATGTCATGAATAAATATGTAACCACGATTATTAAGTGCAATGGTAGCATAAGAGAAATGCTAAAAAGAAAGAAAGAAAGAAAAAATATCAATATAATAACAAACGATTTGTTAAAGATAAAACCTGTTTGATTAGAACTTCGTTGTGTGACGGTAAAGCAATAATTTATTCAGGATCCGGTGTGGCATGTTACATGTTTTCTTTGATGTACTTATATGAATGCCTTTTTATAATAAAGAGATAACTGAGTTATACGTCGAGTTAGATCAGAACATGTGTATTTTGAAATGAGTTGGGGCTATAACTGCCACTGCTCTTATATCACAAAATCCCATATGTGTATATTTAATACCCTTTTTCCTCTGCTATGGAATCTCTCTGTGGTTATTATAGTCATGGATCTGTCGGCAAATCTATTTATGTCTCCGTCTTTGCAATAATCCGCCCACCTATTTCTATTAGCTTATTAAATCTAACTGGCAATGCATTATCATTTATTCATATAACTTTATTCACGTATCCTCAGTACATTTATTTCTCTGCTCATCTATTCATATCCATATTCATCTATCCCTCTATCTATTCATTTATTTGAGTATGCGTTTGTCTATAGTTGTCTACTGAATTATTGATCTATCTTTCTGTCTACACATTTATCTGTCTGCTAATATTTGTATCAAAGATGTCTTTAGTTACTGCATATCTCTCTGTCATATATCTATGCAATCTCACTTTAAGAAAAAAAACAGTAAAAAAAGAAAGAAAGAAAGAAAAAGCACGCTTAAGTGATATACTATATACTGACTATAGGAAAACCTTACATCTATACATCATTATACATATACGTTTATCCATGGCAAATCTATCTATATGTCAAGTTCATTATTTTCTCTCCCTCAATCCCACTCACAAAAATATTATGTGATCAAACCGACTGCTAAATGTTACCCGAGAAAGCATTCAATATAAATAGGATAATAGTTATGAGAGATAGATAGATAGATAGGTAGGTTGGTAGATTGAGATTGAGATTGAGATTATTGCGTTACACATTATGAACCATTATTAATAAGTATGGAATGTCTTCTTATTACAAGGAATGCAATCTCAAGTTTATTCAACATTTAATTATTAATTATCTAACACTTTATTTCTAATCACGTTTTTCAAAAATATAATTTTTGCCCCAAAGTCAACACTAAACAAAATGTGGTTATCAAATTATATATTCTCCAAGACTGAAGACTACTAGCTTACTAATATGCCCGTGAAAAGGAAAAAGATAAATTAAATTGTATTTTACTACAAAGTTAAGAATTGGAATTTCTGCAACATAAAGCTTGTATTTTTTTAATGATTTCAGTAT